AGAGAAGAGTGGCACCAGCCCTGGAGGGATGAAAACCATCTCTTTTCAACAGGACAGGTCTGCCACAAAAACTCGCCCAATTGTCTATGAAACCGATGTTATTCTGCGGGCACCACATGCAGCCATTGAGTGACGACAGTCTGCTATGCATCTCGTCACCACGGTAAGCAGGGAGAGGACCAGAGCATATTACGGTGTCTGACATCGAACTTGCAAGTTCACACCTCTTTAATGTGCGTTTTTAAAAAAAAAAGTTTTTTGTTTGTTTTTTGGTGATCTCCGACTGGCAAAGTCGAACATCATTAGTGCCGATGTAAATAACAATCTTACTTAATTTGTTTAACATTAGCCAGCACTTTCAAATTTGCCACGATGTCAGGCACTCTGGCTCCCGGTAAACGTTGGACTATGGTGGCTGGTGGCTCTATTTTCGTGTTCCGTACAATAGAATCACCAATAATTAGGGCATTTTAATCGGGTTTCTCAGTGGGTGCGTCACTGAGTGGGGAGAACCTGCTTAATGCTTTGATCAGAATGGAAGAGCAGTGTTTTGTCCTGCATCTATGCCACCTAACAGTCACCCAGTCGCTCTGCTGCGGGGGCTGTGCAAACGGAACCGAACAATGTACGGGACTCGCTAAGCTAGTCTCATTCAAAGCCGTATCACTGAAATCCCAGATTCAGCTAAAATAGTGTCTGAGACACTGAGCACGGAGACTGTAGTGTGCACAGCAAATTTTGAAATGCTTATATTAAATTTGTTTTAATTAAAAAATGCTTATAAATGGCTGTTGAGATGGTATTCTCTTATTTCTTATATGGAAATAAGTAGAGGCATGCACCTGGTATCAGCAGTCCTTGCATCATGACTTAACAAGAGGATTCTCCCCAAGCCGTCAAACTGACATCGTCAGAGCAAGAACGAAACTGAGCTTCGGAAAATTGGCTTCCAGAGCGGAAGCCAGCGAGGGAATGATCAGCGGGATCACAGTCTTTCAGCTAAGCTATTCTATTCTGTGAGTACAGAGGTTTGGCTAACATTGTGCATCGCATAATTGCATTTGTGTGAATAAATGATAATGAATACAGTAAGTGAATAATATAATTGGATTTGTGTTTTAATTTGATGTTTTCAGTTAGTATTACTAGGAATTTGAATATCAGGAATACATTTTAAAAAGCAAAGAGAATGTGTGCATGATGTATGTTATTAGTTCTCACTGTGCAAGGGTCGTCATCTTCTCTACATATTATTTTCATCACCTGTGGGAATTGATGTTGGACGTTCCACCTCACCTGATTTCTCATGTTAATGACTAAGGGATAGTTCACCTTCAGTTGGGGGTGTATTACAGAAAGATCTTAACTTTAGAATCCCATCTTATCAGTTAAATATCCATGGCAATTTCAGTTAGGACCTCATTTAGGACAAAAGCTATTACAGAACAACATTTCCTAAGTGCATTCTTATCTTGACTACAGATAGGAAAATGGTATTACAGAAGCATCCTAACTCGCCAGTAATTTCTACAAAACAGTCTTAACTTTAGGATAACCCCACTGGTGTCCCAACTTCAAACCTTTTTGAAATCCAACTGTAAAAAACACATTACATTAGCCCTTTTCAAGAATGGCATAACATTTATTAATCATACAAGACGAAGCGAAGTTTGATGGTGGAGAAACTTTTGAAGGACCCAAAAGATGTTGCACTTTGATGATAAAATACTCGTAAATGATTACAGACTCCTACCACACATGATTTTGCAGTTGGTTCAAATTCAAGTGAGCTTTATTGTCATTCCGCTATATGTGCAGATGTACAAATGTCATGCTTCACAGGATCAGAGTGCTACATATACATATAACCAGAGGCGTCATGCCCATTCAGAGTGAGGGTGCACGTGCCCCCTCAGATTTGAGGCAAGTAAATTTTGAATGCAGCTTCCAAAGGACAAAAATAGCCGATTAATATTTTCTATTTAATACAATCACACCGGCGTCATTGGAACGTTCAGTGCGTCATATCATCAGTTGCTAAATTCAAATCTGAGTTTGTTTGCTGGCTGGCACTTAGCCAGAGACCGACGCATTTAAACAGCACTGGCATTAACCAATCACACATGATGCTGTTGAGCTTATGAATGCAATGACCAATCAGAGGTGTTCAGATGAGTCATCGCTAAAATGCCAGTGTTTTCTTCACTCACTCGCTCACTGACTGAATACCTTTTTCTGGCGAATTCTCTAGTCCGAAACAAAGTGCAAATGTGTACGAATGTGTAAACTGCTTCAGTGCTTTTAATGGGAGTTTGAGTGCTTGAACTAGATTGTCGGTGAAAATGTTCTTTGATAATGTAAATGTTCTTTGCTGTGTTTCTGTACAATGAAAGTGTTCTGATTAGCCTAACTTGCAATGTTTTTATTCACATTAACTTGCAATGTTTTTATTCACATTAACTTGCAATGTTTTTATTCACATTAACTTGCAATGTTTTTATTCTATTATTAAATATCGTATAAAAAAAATGTCATGACACCCATATCTGTTAAGTAAACAGACCGGTTTTATGCGTAGTTAATAGATTACATTATTAGGTTACTTTGACCATCAATATAATCTATAATGGTCAAGAGGTTTCATGATCTAGTTAATGCGTTTGGGGATGTTTTGAATAAAAAGGTAAAAAATAAAACACAAGTGCTAAAAAAATGTCATGACACCCATATCTGTTAAGTAAACAGACCGGTTTTATGCGTAGTTAATAGATTACATTATTAGGTTACTTTGACCATCAATATAATCTATAATGGTCAAGAGGTTTCATGATCTAGTTAATGCGTTTGGGGATGTTTTGAATAAAAAGGTAAAAAATAAAACATAAGTGCTGTTGTGGCTACTGTGTCTCGTGCCCCTTCAAAAATGAATGCATGACGCCCCTGCATATAACATATAACCCAATAAAAAATTATATAAACCGAGAGCCTATAGTGTGTGTGGCTAGTTGACCAATTTCAACCAATATTACAGAGGCCCATGAGCGGTCACTGATCACTACCGGTCATTCTGCAAGTTAAAAGCATGCCGTTGTTTTTCCATTTTGATTTTAGGTTTACCTCAGCAGCCGCTTGCACATAGTTGGTTGCTTGGTAACAGACTTGACAGTTGATTGATCAAGCGATTTCCTAATTAGACATAAGATAAGAATCCTAAATCAAGTTAAGATTTGCTTCAGTAATATGAATTTGTGAAAAATCCTAAAATAAATTCACATCTTCAGTTAAGACCTAAGACAGTTTCTGTAATAAGTCCCCTGGTCCCCATTGATTTCCATAGTATGGAGAAAAGAAAAAGAAAAAAACCACTGCAAGTCAATGGGGACCAGCAACTGAAGGTGAACTATCCCTTTAAATGTGTCATCCAGTGGTACAGTTTGTTAAATGGCTGTACAGCAGTAATTGTCCATGAGTGCATGCATATTATAACTGTACTTATATGATCTTTTGTAGGATGCTCAGTTACTGGTTCTTGAGGAAGCCCCTCAGGTGAACAGCCGTGTACGTTTTTTGCTCTTTGAGCGGCACTGCTCTGTGAGCAAGCACTTAGTTTGGAGGGGGGCACTGAAAGGGGCAAACCTTTACATCGAAATCCCCACTGGTGTCCTCCCGGAAGGGAGCAAAGATAGGTTAGTCAAATTAATATTGTCTTACAATTTAAAAAAAAAAAAAAAAAAAAAAAAAAATTCTCCCTGCTGAAAATGTTGTATGGCTTAAACTGATTGTCCCTTTTTGCAACAGTTTTTCACTCTTGCTGGAGTTTGCAGAGGAGAAATTACAGGTTGATCATGTTTTCATCTGCTTCCATAAGAGCCGAGATGACAGAGGTAAGGCTTATGTGTTCTTTTCTTCCTGTATTCATGATTGTTATTTTGGCCTGTTTTTAACCCCCTTTCTGCTTCCGTCTCCAGCATCGCTGCTGCGGACGTTCAGTTTCATGGGCTTTGAGATTGTGAGACCGGGTCATCCCCTCATCCCAACCCGCCCCGACGCTTTCTTCATGGCTTACACCATCGAAAGAGACTCCGACAGTGACGAATAAAGCTTTTCAATCACATCTTGCTTCTAATTATTATGATGAATCTCACTAAACATGGTCACCATTAAAAGAAACCTAGTATGAATGTCAAATTATATTTTTATTAGATTTTTTTTCTTGTTTTTTCCCCCCTGTTAGGGGGGGGGGGGTTTTTTTTTTTAGTTGAATTTTTTTTTTTCCAGTCGTATTTGCACTAGTGTAAACCAAATTTCCACAGTGACCATTAGTTTTTAAACCATTACCACTGGGCTTAACTTCCAGTGTAGTTGGATTCTTTGCCGATTCCCCTTAACCCATTCCCACACAGACCATTTTTAGTGCGTAATATTTATAGTTAAGATCCCTATAGCAACAACGGTTTTCATTGATGTTGATTTCTTTTTATAGTTGTCTTCAAGTTGTTTTCTTAATGTGTGCATGACTTGGAGTTTTTAGTTATGACTTCTATAGTATCTGTCTGCATGTTCAACAGTGTGCAGAATAAAAATGCTCACCCTCTACCACTACCTTTGTTTTGCTACCTCTTTTCAATTATACATGCATAATGTAAATTATTAGACCATGCCTTACTGTGTTTTCAGAACACTTTATTGCTCTTTTAACCCTGTTGAATGTTTCGTAATGCTCATTTTTCCAGGTAATTTTAATAAGTAAACGCCACAAGGTCAAAATCCAACAATAAGCTGATTTTGCAATAGTTTATATTACATAGGCTTTTACTGTAAATGGGAGTAACCTGACCTTTCTGAATATGGTAAAGCAGTGTTTGTAACAAGTGTTTTACATGTTAACTTAATAGCAAGAATAATTAGGGTAAAAAAATTGAGTACTGATGTGTATGTATAGACCTTGCATACAACAACAAAAGGGCATCGTGGCCACAAATTAAGAATTTGTTCCTTTACCAATGATTTGCCTAAATTAAATCAGTACAACATGGCAATGGTTTACCAAAAACTGAGGGAACAAAATAATCAAACGTCCTCAAGTCAATTAAAATAAGAGACAAATTCTTAATTTGTGGTCATGATATCTAGATTTTTCTGCATGTTGTGCAGGGCTCCTGAGGTATCCAGCAGTTCATGAATATGAATTACAAATATGGGACAAGGTGATCTGTTCTTAGGATTGTAAAACTGTTCATTTAGATCATATAGCTATATTATGAAGTATAGATTAGTTATATCTGAGGCTCACTAACTCACAATTGTTATTACTATTTTCATTATCTGTTAAGCAGGTGTAATGAAGTCAAGAAGGTCCAAACGTTCAGTTATGCTATGCATAGTCTCTGGGTCAAGAAGGGATAGATATTGTAGACCGAGATAGTCTTCCCAGTCCAAGCCAGGCTGATCCTGAAAGAGCCCCTTTTCGGCTAGCTTGAGAACCAAAAGAGATCGCTTAAGTAACAGCCAATTAGAAAGCACAGAGTTCTCCATTTGGTTCTGCTGAAAGAGTCCCTGTCGAGGACCCCAAAGCAGGGCCTGGAGGACACCTACCACATCGGCTAATAATAGCTCAGGTTTCTCAGATGTAAGCTGGGTTACCAGCCACAGCAAACCTGGAGTGTATGGAGTGTCTTGTGGCACCTTCCACACAGATGAGCAACTGTCGGTGAGATGTAGGCAGTACCTCAGCAAAGTCCCCAACTGGAACTCTTGGGATGGTGCTTCTTGCAAAACTTCATCCTCAAAATGGCTCTTCAGGACCAAACGAGGGGTGCCCCACTTCTCCCATAAGGTTTTCGTTCTCTCGTTGTCTGTTTGCTCTGTGGATACTGTGATCACAGGTGTACCTGTAGAAGTGTCTGTATTCATGCTTCCCTTTTTCATCTTACTAGGGTAATCCCTAGAGTCAGCCACTTTGCGCATGATACTAGGCCACACTAATGTAATACTCTGTGGTTTCAGTTCCCTGTGAATGACTTTAAAACGTCCCGGTTGCTGTAGTCCTAGTACCAACTGGAGGGCAAGAAGACAAAGCCTCCTCTCATAAACCTCAGGAAGGGTGGAGTGCAAAGAGTGTCCTTCCTCAACAAAGTCCTCCAGTGTTCCCAATGGAAAGTCTCTTACCACAGTCACACTAACACCATTCTCCAGAAGATCAGCAACTGTTTTCTGTTGGCATACTTCAGTGGTGTCCCCATGTGAAGGCTCTGGAGTTGTCTGAACATGCTGTGAGATGGAAGTTTGATCTGTAGCTGTACATTGTGGAAAATGGACCAAGCCTTGCTCAACGTTAGGATGTGGCATAGACATGGTGCAGTCTGATACTGAATCCCCTTTGTGAACCTGACAAAAAAAATTAGGAGTAATTTTTAGTTTTCACACATTTTCTTTTATTCATTTAAGTAACGCAACTTATAGGATTCTTGAAGTCCTTTACACAAAAACTGTCGCATTGTGACTAAAAACGTGCTCTAAAGTCTTGGTAGCACATTTCAAACTATTGATGCTGTTGCTCAACACCTGGCATGATGAAGGAAGTGTTTTTTTTAATTTTTTTTTTATGGTTTTGTACATCAAGCTAGGGCTGCCTTATAAGGGTGTGCATTCTGCTTGTGGTTCAGGGTCTCTGCCTGGGAAGCATTGATGGCCTACTTACAGCTTTGGATTGAAAACCCTTGTGCATTATCGCCCACATATACACTAACAAATTCAGATTCCTACAGTTACTAACTAGATTCCTTGTGCATCTAGTTAGATTGATGGTCTCTTATGTTATTATACTGTAGATGTTCTTACCTTTGCTGAAAACAGTTTCCCAGGAACCTTCAGACAACACACCAAGTAGAAAGCATCCATCTCAGTCCACTGCTGCTCACACAAAATAAAGTCATTAGGCTGAGAAGTCTTTGCTATCTCCATTTCCTGTTCATTTAGGAAGAGGCTCGATTCAATGCTCTGCAACGTGTTCTTGAGAAACTGAAGATAACATTCTTGGATGCCCATGGGAAATTGCTCATGGCTGTGGAAGCTTCTGAAGACACTTTGAAGTTGCTCATCTGGTGTATCAAAGGTCACCTTGTGCATGGACAAACCCTGATATTCCTCCACTTGTACCTCTTCCTCTTGTAGTTTAAGTGTGTCATGGAATGGTGCTATCATGTATAGGGGATTTTCATAGTTGCAGGTTCTTGTATGATCATGGTAAGGTGGGTCCAGAGTCTCCGCTGGAAGGGATAGGGTTCTCGTCAGACTCTTTTTGGGTACTGGAGGAGGAATTTCATGTGAGAAGAATCTCACCTGGTGATTTTCTGAGAGATAAAGTAAAAAAAAAAAAAAATACATCTAGCAATGGAAGACATAAAGAATACACATGCTCAAATGCTGTTGCATGTCAAGTATTATGGAACCATGAAATGAAATTCAGTGGAAACTGTCTCAGTTCCCACATTACCATGAAAAACAGACTACACATGGTTTAGATGTCTGTAAGCGGCTTTACTATATTGGTTTCAGGTGTTACTTCCTTCAATAATACTTTTGTATTCAAGAAATAATGTGTAAAAGAACAACCAGAAATGAAGAAGGCTATACATGTGAAAAGTTACAGAAACCAGTTCTCATTTTAGTTAGATCCTTATCACTTTCCTCAAAACTAACCTTTTTGTATTAAAGTATACAAACATGTTGTCAGTGCTTACCGTAGCGATGATGTATTGGACAGTGGACTGCATTACAGTAAGTAGGAGTGAATACTTCACTAAATGGAGACACTGGGGTCTGAGGTCCAGGCAAGTGTAGATCTCCCATCTTCAGCTCTAGATCTTGGATGGAGCTTGAAGAAGACCTGCTCCTAAAAATGTGCACATACGTAATTACAGAAATCCAGAAACATTACAACATGAAGTTACTGGGCCTGACCTGCTTCACTTATGTGATATTTCACTACACTGAGCGACGCGAGCAACTTTCGTGGTATGAGGTTTCCTGTAACACAGCTCAAATGCGTGTCAAGTCATAACACTAGCATCTCTTACCTGCGCTGTTTGATGGGCAGTGCAGGTGGTGATGTCCCTCCTGATGCTCCCAGGAGAGTGTAGTCTGTTGCTTGATGCATTGTAGTTTAGCGTGTGAAAGTGTGAGTGTTCGTGAATATGGTTCACACTCCTCCAACTGTCAGTTCCTGTAGTTCTCTTCTTGTTCATTAGCACACATGCAGTACCTCACTCTCTCTCTGTGGCTGTCTGAGACATTGCCACAGCATATCTAGCATCTGAGGTTGGTAGCGGAAAAACTGAGCGCGTTTTGTGCACATCTGTTCTCTGTACTTTCAAATAAGGAAACTTTGAAATAAGGAACCAGTTCTTACTGTCACTGGATGACATGCTAATATGCATTGTGCTCATATATTGGGCTAAATTTGTGTTAAAAATTAATCTAAGGGTTTTTCTTACTGAGCATTTTATTATTTTTATATTTTATATCTGTTTTCTACAGAACATGAAAACTATGCATCTTAAAGTGCACCAATATCACAAACTCCTTGCCAAATTGAGTTGGAAAGTGCTTGGAGATAAACACTTGGCAAGATACCTGTGATTGGAGTAGATATGTGATCCCCCCCCCCCCCCCCCATTTTTCAAACACTAGAGGATGCTGTTTTTTCTATTTATACATAATAAGCAACCTCACGTATGAGACCTTGTGTGGCTCAAAAGACCCAATTAAGATTTAATTCAGTTCAGTTAAACTGAATTTCAGATTATTCAGTTTAATTGAACTGCACCATTTACACAGCACTTTAACAATGCACAATATCCCATAAGAGCCTTACAGAGTGGCACTAGCGGGAACAAAAACCTCCCCAAGTCTAAGAATAAATCCTTAGGAGGAACCAAACCTCTACCCAGAAGGTAGAACCAAGTGGTATATCAGTTCAAGTGAGCCTATTAGTCCATTTTTTCTTTTACTTTTAAATGGTGAATAATGAGGATGTGTGAAGTGTAGTTGGGTCATATGCAATTGAATATTTTGTACAGGCAGGCCCTAGCATGACCTTGATGAGATACACTCAACTTTATCAAGCAATAGCATAATGTAAACTAGGGTTCAATGTAATTTATGCATTGAAACTTCAAAACAAATATTCATTCAGAACTTTTGTGTTCTATTATAAATTTTATTTTGGACAAGACAACTGTTGCAGATCAGTCTACTCTGCTTAAGCTGTCATAAAGAGTCTAATAGAATCCAGATTTGGGATTTGCATGTTCTGATGCGCAAATCGAGTGCATTTCTTACAAGTCCATTGTGTTCATGAAGTGCAGATCAAAAGATGAATTGCACAGTTCTAATTTAAGACATGAGTGCAGGGAAAGAGCCCTCATCAAAATGAAAGAGAAACAAGGAGAGTGCGAGGGTGAGGAGGGGACAGTAACAAAGCAAGCACTGAAGAGACCCTGAAGTGGACCATCATTAAGCTCATATGCTCTTCACATGCTGTGGTCCTGCGTGCTGGGGCTTTCTTACGCACAGATTTGACCACGGATTTACGTCAGCAG